AGGTCATCCGCAACGAGAAGTCCTTCTACAAGTATGTTGTGGGCGACTTAATGCGAAAATCGAAATGCCACGAGCAAAGGAACACAGGATCGGGAAGTTTGGACATGGTCTCCGAAACGAAAACGGCAACTGTCTCGTTGGGCTTCTCTTCGCCGCACGACTTTTCCATGGAAATTCCATCTTCATGAAGAAGGAACATCGCAGGTGGACTTGGGAATGGCCCAACGGAACGACTCACGCGGAGATCGATTACATTCTCACCAACCGAAGGGGAGCTTCCTTGATGTCTCAGTATTCCATCCTTCTGCAGTGACTCCGATCACCGCCTCCTTCGAGCGAAGATACGGCTCAGCCGAAGGCTGGAAAAGAAAGTCTGTCACGGTGCCGCAAGAAGGAATGAAGTCGTTCATGACGGTGACAAGCTGGAAGAGCTCATACCAAATTCTGACTGGCCCATCGAGGAGGACCCAAGGTAAGACTACGACGGCTTTTGAAAGGATTGCGAGCCTGTGGAGAGTGCGCCTCAATGACTTCTAACAAGGAAAGGATACCTGGTGACCGTGGCCTTCTGAAATGAAACGTACACCATCAAATGCATCTTAAAGCGCTGATTCCAAATCTGTTTTCATTATCTGCTGTGCGCTCTTTTGAAAAAACTATGAACATTTCTTGTCACCAAAATCTGCACTGTTTTTAATGCAGGATCCACTATATCGTTAGAAGCACTACAAAAGAGCGTAGAGATAAAGAAAGCTTCACGTCAAGTTCAGGAAAACTGTCTACATCAGAGTCTAAAAATCCTGGATACTGACGATTTTGACTGCCTAAATCTCGCAAAATCATGGAAAAAATTCCATAACTTCGTTCAGGGAGTCGCACAGCAAGTAATGAACACAGATTTAGAATCAGCGTTCCAAAACGCACCTACAAGTATACATCTCATTGCAAGAAGCCACGGCCACCAAGTATCCTTCCCTCGTAAGAGGAACTTGGAACGCAATTCGAAAACTACCAAGATTGCTCAAAAAAGAAGATTTCTGAAGCAAAATCTGAATGCAACCCATCTCGAGCGACTGATAGCCAAGCCAGTTGCAGAACAGGAGGATCTCAGGAAGTACAGGCAAAGCATGATACTGGAAGCAGCCGAAGGAAGACGAAGTCTTAAGAATTGCCAAAGGACCTCCGTGAATATCACGTACCGCTGGCTGCACTATTGAACGAAGAAGAGACTCCGACTTTTTTCCAATATAAGATAGATTCGATCGCGAAGAACTTTTACACCAACCTCTTTCGCTCATCAACACCCTGCCGATGCCCGTTGTTCCCACTGGAAAAGTACCACAATTCTACTCGCTGAAGTGCGCACGGCGATTCAGACCATAAAGACGTCCACGGCCCTAGAACCAAACCATCTTTCCGTCGAACTCCTGCGAGCCGAAGGACAACGTCTACACGAGATTCTCGCCTCGCACCTGACATCTTACCTTCAGAAGGAGAGGATTCCCGACCAGTGGAGAACGTCAAAAACCGTCCTTCTCTTCAAGAAGTGTTAACAGGAGGATCTTCGGAACTACCGTCCTATATGCCTGCTGAGTGTGCTGTACAAGCTTTTCACGAAGATTATCCTCGCTCGCATACTGGATGAAGCCCAACTTTAAAAACAAGCTGAATTTCGCAAAGGATTCAGCTGCATAAACCACATCTTTCGGAGGGTTTCATTTTCGAGGGTCATATCTGCTGGGAGTACCAACTGTTTTTCGTCCCAACCTTCGTCGACTACAAGAAAGCATTTGACAGCGTCAAAACCAACGCCATCCTGTCTGCGCTAATCGATCGGAGTGGACCCAGCTTATTTGAGGACACTAGCAAACTGCTGCTGTTATCACTGAAGCGGAGACGATGCTGAAGGAACTGAACGAAGTAGGAAAGAAGATCGGATTGCGAATAAATGGGAAGAAGACCCAGTTCATGAAGAACGCCTTTTGTGAAGATGCAGAAATGGAACTGGTAGGCACCCCTATCATGGAGACTCTTCTTACGTTTATGTCGGACGTCGATAACATGGAGAACGACATGAGGGCAGAATTTAACAGGAGAAAAAGAGCAGCATTAGCCGCCTTCGGGCCTCCAACAAGATGGGTAGACGTGTTCGTGGAACGGATGGGCCAGCTGAGAATCAGCTGGATACGATTTTTGCCCCTGGAACTCGTGGACACAGCCACCGACGACGGCCAAGAAGATCGTGGACGTCCGAAGCGAGGGACAGGGAACAATGGAAACTTCTGTACTGGGACCGCACGTCGCGTGAGGACAAGCCATTAAAGTATGTAAGTAAGTATTTCTATGCAAAAATTACAGCTTGCCACCGTGATGATAGTGTCAATGTCAATTACGTACTCCCTTGTGCACATAGTTGCGGGTATACAGCATGTTAGGGCTTCTTTGCTTAACGGCTCTAAAAAGCACTCCGGTGACCGATAAAAGCCAACACATTGTGAGAGTGAGGTAGAGCAAGTAATAGTAAAAAATGTGCTGTGGATTGACATCGTTATCTGCACTAACGGGAATACGAGCGAACGCGTCTATTTAAGCGTGCTTATCGTTATTATATGTTTATGTTTTTTTTATTAAAAATGCGCTTTTGATTGACAGTTGTGCCATCATTATCAGCACATACTCAAAAACTATGGGAGATTGGTAAATTTCCACGCCTCCACACAAAAACCCGCCCATTTCTGGAATTTCTCTGTAAACCTAGTGCTGAAGAAGGTCACTTTCGTGAAAACGCTCTAGACTCACCTAATTGTAGAGAATGGTTGGTTTCAATAAATCAAAAACTTTAAAGCATTCAGAAGAACAACATGTTATTAAAATATCCTTCAATGTTTTGGAAAGGTTGGCAGTTTGAGGAAGAAACGGCAGGCAGATTACTTTACAAAATCGCAGATGACTCGCATGTGTTCCAGTTTAACAGCGAGGTAGAAGGAGAATCTTACCCGACGAAAATGTTGTCGACATTGATACAGAGTTGACAATTGAGCGAAACTCTTTGATTTCCTACATAAGGAATCCAAGCAGATTGCTTAGTTTCAGTGAGGAAATGTCCAGGAAGTCCATTGCTGATCTTCAGGTTGCTGAAGATTTCAAGGCTGCTAAATTCACGAACATGGTTATGAACAAAAGGAAGGTGTTAGTACAAAGCATAGCTACTGCTCTTAGATCCCGACTGGAGTACGAACTTAACTCTGTGCTTTATGCTGCTGGAAGTATCTCGCCTTGTGGCATTACGACCTATGATATTGAAAAAAAAAACCAACGCGCAGCATATTATCTACTTTTTTCGGCTATTCCACAGATGCCGTTGAAGAAAAAGTTGAGCAGCTTCATTAGCTAACAAAACGTATGCCAGAGGAGGTGAAGCCAGAATTCGACAAGGCCCAAAAAAGCATGCAATATTTCCTTCCCGTGTTGCGAAAGCATATGCGATCTGGCTCTTTCCCCATTACTTACCGCAAAAATCTGATGGACTTACTAGCAAGGCTAGTTCCCATTCCGACTAGCACGGCAGAGATGGAAAGGGAATTTTCTATCTACTCTGTTATCGGAACGCAACGCAAAATGCGTATAAAGTTGAGCATCTAAGCAAATTACTCAAGATTTGTCAACCTTCTACTAAACATATTATTATCTAAAAACTTCATTCAAAGGATTGCTATAAGTGGTCCAGACAGGCTGTCATCGTATGACTTTTTGAAATATCCTAAAAGATGGTATGAAAAAACTGGTCACCTACCTGCTGACTTCCTGGTGCTACCAGAGGGCCAGGAAAAAACACAAAAGCGCTTAGAAGAAGAAGAACGTTTCAAATCCATTTTCGACTCAAAACTTTTTTTGACGCAATTCTACTTCTACTCCGATGATCTTTTGAAGGAAGAAGAAGATCTTTTAGGCAGCGAACTTGTTGTTTCTGACGTTACGATAGTGATATTGTTGATGATGACGTGCGGGAATTGTAAGTTGTTCCTAACTTGTACATCTTTTGGGACAAACCTTATTGCTTTCGTTTTTTTGTTGATTCAATGAAATAGGAGCACAGATCTTCATAAGGTCAATTTTTTTGATTTATTATTTTTTTAAATTAAAAAAAAAATTTTCAATTTGTACCTAAATAAGGTAAAAATTAGAGCTCTTCATACCACACTTTTTTACCTTTTCTCTCTTCCTCCCTCCCTTAAGCTCACATACCTCCTTCACCCCTGAAGGTCGAAAACAGCCGAGACCCCCTTTACCCGGGGAGAGCCCGGCTTCCCCTATCGCACCTATGCTTGTGGGTGACAATTACGCATGCGCAACGCAAGGACCTTGTCCGCAAACCTCAATCGATGATGCCAGTTTGGATGCCCGAGCCATACCCGCGCGAAGCCGGCGCGAAGCTCATAGCGCTTACCGCAAATGGAGCATGTGATCAACACGGACTGTAGACTACTGTGTGGGAGGCTTACGATTTTTTGAGGTATTTTTTTAGCACTGAACTCGATGTGAAGGAATATGAAGTCTTTGAAAACTCTCTTCTACAAGCTAGCCAAGAAAAATTTCGATCAATTGAATTGCAAAGTACCCCCTTTTTGCGTAAGAACCTCACGTTTTTTAATGAAAAGTTACATGCTTATCAATGTCACAGTTTATTTGCAGGAATTGGCAAGCTGAACCATCCGGCATGTAAATAAACAGCTGCTAACAGGCACAACTCTAAGCCGTAGAAAAATTATATGACTGAGGTCCTTATGCATTGAAATCTTCCCTGCGATGGGAAGTGGCTTGTCCCGTTATGGAAAAACCGCTCGCCCGCGGCATTGTAATTTGTTGCCCTCTTATAGAGATTATCATGTATAAGGGCAAGAAGGGTGTAAGGCGCTTTTTCAAAATTTCCTCACTACTGAAGAACGCACAAAGAAGGTAAGTAATTTGTGTTGCATATACGAGCAGTAAGGAAACACTACCTTAAATCAGTCAATTCTACATTTTGATCTCTTCCTTCATTTGCAAGAAGTAATTCTGCAACATTTGATTTGAGCAGTATTTTGATCAAACATTTGATATTTGCTTACCTTTTTCAGTGAATGAAGCCTCAAGTGACATATTATGGCGCTATGAAATGAATGCGACCAGGAAAGACGGACAGTAATTAGCGAAGCTGCCACTATAAAATAAAATTCAGTAAATGTTTAGCTACTAGGTGGTGTGGGATTTAATGGGGCATGGAGCTATTGAGTGTTTGGGAAAATAATGTGGCGTAATAAGCTACCTTGTAATATCACGGCAGAGTGGAAAAAATGAGTAAGGTACCAGCCAAACAATCAAGGGGTAGGCGGATTGCAAACTCGCTCTTGCAGCTGTCAGCCACGAGGCGTGGCCAATCCTTACGCTATCCCCCATCTAACATCGCATGTCCTTTTAACAGACAGCAATACAGAATTTTCTGCAAGCGCTCGTCAGACAATTCTGGGCGCATGAGACCTTTCAAGCGTTCATCATTAATTTGATAAGCGAACAACTTTTACAAACTAGCAGTCATTTTCTGTAGAGTTTTTAAGGAGAGAAACGCTATGAAAGTTCCAATGTTTGCTTTCACAATTTTCGTTCGAGTTCTATGATCTTAATACTTGTTAGCTGCATGAGAATTATCCTTTTGATGTGACAAATCCAAAGTAAATATTCTCCATCATTTTGCTTTCGTTCAGGATTTTAGGCAATTTTCATTAGCCTGATCCACTGCCTAATCATATTGCTCAACCAAAGTGCAGAACGGAGCAGTTTTATATGGAAAAGCTCGTTGCAAGATTAGCTAAATGTTTTCATTGACATTCCTTCGCCTTACAAAGTCAATAGTCTGGTATGATAAGTTTTTGAAAACTGACTTCAAATATTTTACATGTTCACTATCCGTGAAACCGGGCACTGGCCCAGTAAATCCCCATTTATCTCAGTTAACCCGAGATAAGCCATTTAAAAGAATTCCCAGAGTATACCTACCTAAAACCGCCCACATTCCAGTGCTTCAAAGGTACTGTCCACCCTAAGCTGAAAGTGTTAAGCTTTTGGCAGCGTATAATAGTAGGACCCCATATCAATCCAATGCCCAAGTCGCGGCGCAAAATGCCGCTTCAGAAGCGAGAAAATCGCTTTGGAATAGCGAAGATGCACGAAGACCCCCATCCATGCCCGCCCACTTGTGCGCGCCCATCCAGTCACCGCTTCAGAAAGCCGGACTATGGGTTCTCCGGAACGGGGATTATCGGGGTTTTCGCGCATTCTCGACTTCATATTCGGAATCAGGGACATGAGAAGGCCCTGAAACGACAAAAACACAAAGTCGAAAATCTGAGCGGACGGTGTTTTTAAGTGGTTAGTTACAGTTAGAAGACCGTTAGGTCTTACGCGCCAGGTCTGTTTAACGTAATGCCACTTAGTCGATTCACAAAACTTCATAATTTCGGGTCCCAAAAAGGCTGCAATTGACGAACAACTAATTACGAAGCAAAAACAAATCAGGCTTTTTGCTTTTTTTGCAAAGTTCGCTCAGTTTTTTTTTTGAAAGCTCCATAAAACAAAAATCATTCATTTATTTCATTAGATTTACGCTCTAATCAAACCAATTTTTTATGAAATCCCCGCCAAAAAATTACAGTTTTTGTTTAATAATTGACAAAGCCCAACTGTTCCCTAATCTGCCGTGATAAATGAGACTGTTTTAGTTTTATTCAAGTTTAACCAAGGTGGTACGAAGATTAGTAAATTTGCTCAAGTGTTTCGGCAACGGGTCGAAAGGCGTAAGCAAACTTATTAATCTTCATACCACTTTGAAATTGAATTAAATCGGGGCAGTATCGTAGCTTTGTTTTATCTCATTTGTTAGGTGATGCCCTTGAGTCATCATCGATTTACTTGGCCGCTATCAAAGACTGCCCTACGATGCTGCAAAATTCTCCACTAGCCTTCTCGAATCATGAGTTTGCACCTTGAGTCCTGATCACTTGACCGTTTCAAACGAAATTGCTCAAATCTTTCCTTTTTGATAATGTACAGAATTTTTATGTCTTAGCTCCATCTTCAACAGCTCACTGGATGCCGGACTGAGGTGTGCTACGTCCGCCCCAACCGAGTTGCATTGGACATGGATTTACTACGGCCATTGTGTTATGATCTTTGATTTGCTGAACCAACTAGATTTGTTACAACTTTTTATTTGGCCTGAGTCTTGGCAGCAATGCTTTTCGAAGGCTTGAAAGAAAGTCTCACTTTTACTTTAAAATTTGCACTGCCAAACTTTTCCATCACACCTGCTTTGTTCAATTTATTCGAAGTAAAGTTGTCTAGAGAAAATAACCAATCTCACCGAGATTGCGCAACATTAGCTTGCGACGTAGTAATGAAAGATGACAGATCACTGACTTATTCTATCGGGAAGCAGTTAAAATAGCGTTGGGTATCCTAGACTGACAATATGGTATGAATGGCAGAAGATCGCTTGTGATTAACACGTTGACGACGAGCCATTAATTTGAAGTCTGTCCTTGTGGACGAGACGTTTCCGTGCATCCCTATGCCTGGCCGCATGTATGTATGTATGCATCTATGCACGAAATATAGAATATGCAAGCCGCGCCCCTATGTGGCAAGCTTCGCCTACTCTGCCAAAAATGTCGAAAATGTCGAAACTGCGCAAATTTTGAGAATTCATGCAAATTTCGCCGCCATTTGAGGGCGGAGTTTGCTTGACGGTGGCGGCGCCTGGCTAAAAGCTGCCTGAGGTCTTTGCGTTCATTTACGGCATAATCCATTCTCTTTATGAACAAAAAGAATCTTTGTAAGAGGCATGGGAGTGAGCGGAGTTGGCCCAAAGGGGCGGGACTAATACATGAAGTACGTCCGAGCCTATGTTGGTTATATGAGCAAAAACTGAAAAGATTGGACAGATAGTACTAAATTTAAAGCCGCCGCGCACCATAGCGCGGCACTGTCGTCAACGTGTTAAGAGCTGTTCACCTTAGCAATCTTTTGAGGCTCCCGTGACTGGATGAATGACAGAATTTCCAGACCTTGCTGAGGAGTAGCTACTGGAGGCTGCTATCTTGCGCGCTAATCTGAGAGGTTCTCGCTTTTCGCGTTTGCCACTACATAGTCTAAGTGTTTCAGAAATATTGCCAGTTTACTCGTTATGGCGATCGGCGGACAGATTTAACGGCCAGAATGTTATCTCGATGAAAGCCTTTTAGATATTGACTAAGACGTAAGGCGTTATTTATTATATAAACAAGTAGAACAATCCACTGTGTAAACAAGTAGAACAACCAACCATTTCAAATTTTGCGTGCAGGAAAATGCTCAGAACCCAATCAAGCCATTTTAAACAAGCTCTATATCATCGCACCCTCTTGAAGCACTAATTTTAAGCGTACGTTTACTATCTGAACGACTATTTGAAAGGAGTTATGAGCTCAAATTGCGATTTATCAATTATTCTGTAATGTGTACCACAAAAAAGGTTTCAAAACCATTTATTCAAATTTATAATGAATGTGCTTTTTGTAGTTAGAATACTTAAGGTCACTGTAATTACGCGCTTTCAGACTGCCATTCAACGACATATTGTTGAGACCCGACTAAGTCGTATTTAAACGATAAGTCACATCAATAGCCGTTGACAGATAGAGCTTTAAGATGAGTTTGATGGTGTATTGTGTTTGGGATGGCGTAGTTCTGATTTTGAGCATTTCTTTTTGTTATTAAGATTTATGTACTGCGACTATTAATTCAATATCTTGAAACACTCGTCCACTCCAGACTATGTGGATGTATGTTATATGATGGTAAACTTTCTAAGATCGGTAGTTCCTTCCTTTATTGTCAGTACCATCAACAATCAGTACAGTCTACGTTTCGGCGGAGATAGCTTTTGTCAAGTCCTTCAGTGATACTGTGTAGTGTACGCCCATTACTCTGACAACGTGCCAGACCACTACTTGCCGTTTAATGTGATGGAATCATTCCAGAGACAAAGGCGACTTCCGCTGAAATGCAGAGCGTAATGATTGTTGACTGTACACTATCCACTACTATTGAAAAGCTTATCATCGCATAACACAATTGACATTATGGTAAGATTCAGAAATAGTCGAGCGTGGATGTCCACCCTAAGACGCATTTGTGAACAGTGATGTTATGTTGAATGACTCAATAGTGTGTGCTTTGATCACTTGCTTTGTTGTAGCCTGTCAAGAAGATGTCTGGTGTTGCGCAAGTGGGATGATTTTTACACAAGTGGGAGGGTACACGAGTTGGGTGACAAGTTTGTGCAAAAACCACTATCGTGTTACTTGGTCCATAGGCACAGTTGATGATAGGTCGGATCTTAAAATCTGTGGAATGGAGTGCGTGCTTTACGGGATCCTATGTGTCCTCACAATTCTATGAAATCCCAAACAGCATGGGTTATCCATTCAAACCTAATAATAAATTTCTTGCTGATACCCGCTTCTTTACCGAGTTTTATCTAAAATTCATTGAGTAGGCTGTACTGAGAAAGATTTTTTTCAGTAAGCAAACAATGTTGCTCGGCGATTTCGCGGTTCAGTTTTTTAAACATAATCATAAATTCGCCGCTTCTTTGATTAATAAATGCAATAATTCTTCTCTTGATCATCCCTCGCATTTCCTCGATTTCCTGTCGTTGCACATGGGAGACGGCCCTTCTAACCCACAGTGCGCTACAGTAATTCAAACGCTGGGACGCGTGCGCTCGCGCTGCGTTCGACGCAGACGAGTCTTTCCTAATTTCGAAAGTCGCTCATTTTGCATGAGTAGCGTAGAACTCAATATAACGAACTAATGTTACGGATTTTGCGATGCTCTCCCGCTTCTAGTATTGTGATACGTCGCCAGTCTAGCGCTTTTCCTGGTCATTAATTCTTCTGCTTTCTGAATGTTCTTGAACTGATAAGTTGCACGTTACCGATCATTAGTCGAGCACTGTAGCCAATTCGTCACACCATTCGTCATACCTTGTTCTTATCATTTTCCACTTAGAAATCGCTCAGCATTGAGAAAGAGTAAGAGTATTGATTGTTTTGTTATGATCAAACAAGATTGTGCTACGTTCATTATACGTTCGAGCAAAGAGTCTCATTCTGCAGCTTTTAG